CTGAGAGTGCGCTCCCAGTTCATGTCCGGAGGGCTCCCAGCGGGGAGGGCTGTCCGGAAGGCCTAAGCGAGCTTAGGGGTTAGAAGGGTCGGGTGGGTGGGTTTCAAAACGAAACCAGGACTGCGAGTCCCAAACGTGAGCTTGAGTGCTAGGAGCACCAAATGGCGGCGGCGTAGGAGATTCACCCCCGACCTATAAACACAATGGAAAACAAAACCCTTAGCGTTAAAGGTCCCGCGGACTGCTCCTAGCCTCAAACCACAAAAAAACCCTGAACCAAGGGGCGAAATGTTCCCCACCTTCAGTGCTTCCCAAGGCAACCCCGGTAACAGGCGATTAAGGCCCAGGCGCAAAAGTCCCCCTCTTCAGTGCGGGGTTGCACCTGCGGCGGGACGAAGCACAGTGACAGACAATCAATGTGGGTGTCTCTGGACCCGCAGGTCCGTTGACGCGGGCGTGGGCACGCTTGCCACGCCCCCCGTCTGGCATTTTTAATGCAAGGACACGCTTGTCTTGCAACCTTGTTTTCCACAAGGGGGGGGGAACATCTCGCCCCTTGTCCTAGGAAACTGCCACCTTCCCAAGCAACCCGGTAAAAAGGTGTGCGCCTTGCTGTCGGCTTTTGGGTTCAGGGTTCTTTGTGGTTTGAGGCTAGGAGCAGTGCGCGGGACCTTTAACTCAAGCGAAGCCTCGATTTGATTCCCCATCAAAGCATTACCAACTCTCATGAGTGGATGCCACCACAACAGCAAAAATTGACACAAAACAATTTGGGAGTTTGAACTTATCCATGCAAGGAATGGAATGCCATAGTCGTTGCGAAGCAAAACCGTTGCTCCCACTGCGACACATTGTAAAAGCAAGTCAGCGCTGCAAAGTGGCATGGGACGTCCAAATCAGAACCAACTTTCTTCCAGTCAATGGCAAGCGGGGCCAAGCCCAAAGTCATGACAAATCCTTGGCAATCCGCGTGTTCTGGAGAGCTGCAGCCTCTTTTCAGATTAGCTGAGCTGACCTGGGTTTCTCTCTACACCAAACTGGATTTTCGGAGCAGTGGCCGGAACCAGACTTGAGACACGGCCCCTGGCCTTCTTTCACTCTACCGGCTACCTCGGCTTCCTCGGCTGCTTCTGCCTCGGCCTCGGGCTGTTGGTGAACCAAACTTGGGAGCCAAAAAAAAAACACAGCCGTATGTTGTCATGTCAGTCATTTCCCAGTGCTATGCTTCCCTTCATGAGCTCCAACCTTGATACATTTGCTGCTTTTGGGCTGCTGATTTGGCTGATTTTTTCATTTGGAGCGGCAATCCATGAAACTACCCGATCGCCATGCCACTTATTCGCATTTGAGCGGGGCGAAACTCGGTTGTCTTGAGTTTTCTAACATGGACCAACTCAAGCAAGAATGACACAGCTTGCTAAAGGATGCGCTCAAATCAGCATTTTGAAATGACCTCCTCATCTTAATTCGCTGAAGGCTGGATTTCACTTTTTTTGCGCAACTAGCCCAAGCGAATTGTCCTTGGAAGCGTTGGTTCCTTGGGTACAAGAACCCGGGTGCGTCCTTTTTGAGGAGACAACCAAGTGACCGCGGCCAGTTGCCACAGTTTGCCACCAAAGCCCTTGGCCTTGCTTCACCAATGCGAACCGTGTCTCGACCACAGCCCGATGGTCAAAGCCAACACACGGCAACACAACCGCGCTGTGGATGGTCACAAAAGCAGGATGCTTGGCCCCTTGGACAACTTATGAGTAGGTTGTCACGTAGACTACCAATCACTAACTTGGTAGAACACTCAAACTACGCTCTCAGAACTGCCAGCATCTGTGCACGTGTGCTGCATTTCTCAGCAGTTTTCCGCCTCCTCACAGTAGGCGTCCTCAATCAGGTTCTCCTTTTCTTCACCTTACAGCGATACACCGTCGGTCCGGCTCTGTGTGCCCCGAGCTTTTGAATGCCTGATAATTAGCTAAGGCTCAGGGAATGGCCTGACCAAGGAAGCCAACGAAAGGCGTAGAACAACTTGTTCCTGGGACAAAGACCGCGCAGGCCAATGAGCCCTGAAGCTCGTCTTTGGACATCTTATGGGATATGATGGGGCGTACCTTTGCCTTGGTAGCATTTTGCGTAGCCTGGAATGCATCTTGATAAGCTAGTGATGAAACAGGCGGCCCAGCCACTTTTCTCATGTGGGTGTCGGTTTAACTGGGATTGTTTGGGTTTTCCCGAGTTTGACTCATGTCCTTTTGGACCACCACGTTTGGATTCCCGATTTTGAGCGCCATCTTTTGGACCCCTTGGGTCCGTTCACGTCCTGGCTCGGCAGGCTTCGATCTTTAAGTGCAATTTGACCCGGAACACTTCGCGCGGCCAAAAACAAGTTTTCATTGGCCATAGCAGGTGCTTCTGGCAAGAACTGCTATATGGATTTCTCATAAGACACTCTTTTTGGTTGGTGGTTCAATCAAAAGCCAACCAGTTCGCAGGGCCCCCCTATGTTGAGAGCCGCCATCACGTGATATGTCCATGCCGCGCTTTCTTTCGCCTATGGGCTGCCACTGAGGCCGATCGGGGAGGAAACAGAGGGGGCTTGGTCTTAGTGCTTTTTGTTCACATCTGGTTTTGCCCAGGCCTCCAGAATGTCGTGTGCGAAAGCCCACGATGCTTTCTGGACATGTTTGTCGCCACTCGAGAAAAGAGTTCACATTGTTCACATTGCTTGTTTGCAGGTCAGTTGTGAAAAGACTCCACGGGAGCAACCTCTGGATTTGGGACCTAAGTGGAAACCGCTCAAGGGGCCCAAGGGCAACCTAACAGCTCGAGGTCATGGGATCAACTCGGGTTTCATATCTTCAACTCAGATGCCACTTTTGGATGAAGCATCAGATGGCCTTTGGTTTTGCCAAGCCGTGGTTTTGATTGGTGGTTTAGGGATTGGACTCCCGTGTTGTAGTCCACCCCTGGAACACCTCCGAATCACCAATCGGCTTTGATGCCCTTTCCCAGTGCCGAGACCCTGGCAGGTCACGGGAAGTATGGCGCAGGCGCAAGCTGAACGTGGGCTGGACGCGGAAACGTCTCCAGAAATGCGAAGACCGTATCAGGTTCGGTCAACATATCCCGTCCATGGTCAACTTGGCAAAGACATTGAGGGATTCACTCATTTGCTTGCACGCAAAGCAGGAACACTCTGGCTTTGAAATATGTCCTGCAGGGGAGCCCCATATATGTATATATATATATATATGTGTATATTAATACATATATATATATATATATATATATGTATTCCATACACATATACATATATTATACACATCATATTATATATATATATATATATATCTTGGCGGCTCACATCAGACCCTTTGAAGGAGGGGATCCTTCCGGCCGCCAGGGACGACCGCGGCCCACAGCGCGGCCCAGCCAGGCACAGGCAGGGGACGGCGCGGATTTTTTGGGCTCGGAGGGTTTGGATTGCGAGGGCCAAACACGACGTCTCGTTGAGGGGGTTGGTTTCTTTGGGATCCCTCATTTCCGGTTGGTACTACAATATGCGTGGCCGGGAGACACGGACGGGAGGCAAGGCGAAAGAAAAAAGGTTGGCACTACAGTATATTGTGCCGAGAGTGGTAGGCCTGACTTCATGTACGCGCATTTTGGCGGTTGTTCACATGACCAAAATCATGCGGACGATGCTGAGCGACTTGGCTGAAGTGATTGGCATCAACGAAGTCAATTGGCTGGCTTTGCGCCTGGTTTGCAGGTCAAGCTCGGGAGCTGTCTTGTGGTTTGATCAAGCTGCTGTCAGCTCCCTCCTGGTTGGAGGAAGGATGCCCTGTACAAGCACTATGAAATCGCTTTACCCCACTTAGCTATGAATGTTGGAAGGGCACATGCTCAACATGATCGACAGATTTCATCTAAGCAAATAATCTTTACCAAACGGGACGAACTCGAAGATTCCTTCGAGGATGTCCTACAAATCATAGTTTTGATCCCCCCAAGGTGTTTGGACCTGCTGGTTTCCCCTCTGAGGTTGTTCTAAAAAACGGAGTTTGAACCCCCGCCCCCAATATCAGGTGTTTCACGCCAGCCAAAGCGGTCGGCCCACCTGCGACTTGCAGAAAGCACGGGTGCCAGGGGCGGGGGTCGGAGATGTTCGCTTTTCTGAAGGTTCCATTCGCTCCCCTCTGTCCTTTTGGAGCCACAGGAGTCCCCGTGTTTTGTTGGGCCATTCGCCTTGGAGGTCGAGACACCAGGTGTGCCAAGAAATGTGTAAGCAACCAGGCCCCGGTCGCCTGCAAAGGGAGAGAAGGGAGAGAAATAGACGGTTGCCTGGCTAGTCTGCTGGACCTGCATTGTGCGAGGTAAAGGGTGGTCCAAACAATTGGGGGGCTTGTCAAAATCAGGGCCGGTGCCTCCTTAAAAGGTGGCAGCTTTGGGGTCTTTTTGGCCATATTTTTGACAATCCCGGAGTGGGAAGCCTGACGGAGTCGCCATGCCAGGCAAATCCCTCGGCGAGGAGCTCAGGCGATATCGCGCGCGTTTGCCGCACCGCGCGGCAGGACATGAAATCCATCCGCACCAAGAGAGACTATCGTCCCTCAGCATTTTTTTGCGTGCAAGCCCTTTTTTTCTTTTTGGGGGGCAACGGAAGAGGGTGCTTTCCTGGAAAAAGGTTGTTTCCTTCAAGGCAAGACTCTAAGAATGATTGTGTGCTGCTGCGCCGCGTCCGAGCCCAAAGCTTGAGCTTGCCAAGTGAGTTGCGCACTTGGGCCGACCAGGACAAAAAGGCTTGACAACTTCCTCATGGCTATCTCTGTTTCCCTTGGAAGATGCCAACATCGCCCTCTTAAGATGAGTTTCCGTTTGACAATTTGATGCTTGAAGCGGACACATCTAGGAATCGCTTTTGACATCGCCAAGTGTGGACCAGCCTTTTTCCCACATGTCCCATTTTTGCTTGGAACACAGACTCACCCTCCCCCGACTTCCGCATGGCGAGCTCGGCCGCTCGGACGCCTCGGGCGCGGTCGGTCGCCTCGGCGTCGATTGCCCTGGCGCTGGCGGTGGCGCTGCTCTCGGGCCGAGGAGCGGCGCCGCCGGCGAGCGCGCCCGCGGTGTGGGCGGAGGCGCTGCAGGCGGAGAGGGCGCGGTCCCAGCTGCTGCTGAGCAAGTTCCAGGAGAGGGGGCTGAGCTGGTGCGTGTCATATTTTTTGGGGGGATCCCCCCCCTTTCCCCCAAAATGGCCTTGGAAAGAAGGTCGCTTGGTGTAGAGACGTGTGTCATGGTCAAAACACCCATCCAGACCACAGATGAGGATTCTTAGAAGGGGTTGCCCATCATTTTCCCAGGAAACTGAAGACTACCGGGTCCCCGTCGAAAGGAACACCCTGGCCATTCAGGTGTCATTGGGGACTCGGTCGAAAGGCAAACCCTGATTCAGTGGGATGCCCAAGCCAACTCCCGGCAGTAAACCCTTAGTGGGGTTACTGACCAGCGAGCGATTCCTCCCCAGAAAGAAAACAACTCGCACAGGGGTTGCGCCACAATCAAAGCCCGTCAAAAGACCTCCAGTCCATGGTCCATTTGAAAGCTACATGGCTTCCTCCAACTCCGTGTTTTTCTCCCGCACTGTTCCCAGGTCCTCTTGGAAACTCAGCCATGGCTCCGGGCCGAAACCATTCGGGTGGATCGGCTCAGCTGCGCGCGCGCGGGGGGCAGGACCTGGAGCTCCGCGGCCCGGCGCCGGAGGCCGAGGCGCTGCGGGGGACGCTGGAGGAGGCCTCGGCGGCAGATGAGGCTTCCGCCGAGGCGTCAGCTGAGGCGGGGGGGGAGGAGTGGGGGGGGGGGGGTTGGGGCCTTGTGGTTTTGTCCAACTTGACGGAACCAGTTTTTTTTTTGCACTAGCTCCGGCTCGGGGCTTAGCTGGTTGGTCGGTCGGTTGGTTAGTCGGCGGGGCGGCCACATCCCCAGCATCCCCGATTACTTGGTAGCAGGGCTGCGTATTAACCGGCCGCATCCCCAGCATCACCGGCCTCGCTCGGACTAGGGCTGCCCATTGGCTTTGATTTGGTGGCAGTTCAGAGTCGCTCGAGGCTGGTTTCGGGTCATTGTTGGGCTTGCTGACGTCTTAAATAATGAGGGCGGGTCTTGGGTTTGTTTTTTGGTCAAGGGCTGATATTCAGGACGCTGTTGGGAGGGTTTAAGGTTGAATTTGAGTCGGTTTGGGTTGGCTTGGGGCTGTTTTGCGCGAGGTGTGCGGTCCGGCTTCTTGCAGTAGCTTTTGGGCTGCTTCATGGCGTGGTTGTGCAGTTTTGGGCTGGTTTGGGATTGGTTGTGGGGCGTTGCCCCAAACCACGCAAACCAGCCCAAAACTTGCGCAACCACATCCCTAAAGCATCCCTAAAAGCCAGGGCCGCACACCTCGCGCAAAACAGACCCAAGCCAACCCAACCGACTCAAATTCAACCTTAAACCCTCCCAACGGCATCCTGAATATCAGCCCTTGACCAAAAAACAAACCCAAGACCCGCCCTCATTATTTAAGACGTCAGCAAGCCCAACAATGACCCGAAACCAGCCTCGAGCGACTCTGAACTGCCACCAAATCAAAGCCAATAGGTAGCCCCAGTCCGAACCGGTTGCCCCCAACCTGAGAGCGAAGCAAGGTCTCCAGCCAACCTCTTTAGAGCCACATGAGGGAGGCATTAAAAAGCCGGGGCTAGTAAAAGAACAAAACACCTCAACCCAACTCACGGGTTGGGGCACCGCGGGGCCACTGCCCCTGGATAGCGCCCGCTCTGTTCACCGCGTGCGCCAAGACTGGAGATTCGGAGGAAGACTGCGCCAGTTTTTTTGGAAGGTTCCCTTCAAGACACGACCCTGACAACACCCCGGCGCCGAGGAGTTCTTTCAGCGCCTGCGTGTGTCCAACGACGAGCTTGAAGAGGCCAGGTCAGAGTGCAACTTGCTGGGGTCGGAGATTTCTTGTACCATCTTGTATCAGTGTCCGCATGAAGGATATGGGATCTCCCCCCATGATCAACCCAACTTAGGGGCCATGAGTGACTATGGGTGACTATTATGGGTGGACCAGCAGTCATGACGTTCTCGTGACGTCCAAGGCTCTCCAGGCGATCCAGAGCGGCCGCAAGTCGAGCCTGCCATCTATCCCCATTGCCACGGTGGGTGACCCGGTCACTTCACCTGGTTCTTGGCATTGGTTTTTGTTTTTGTTTTTCTGTTCTTTGTTTTAAAGGCACAGAACAAGGTCTTTGGCCAGCGGGGTGAAGCTTACACATCAGTGTTCATGGCTTAGTTTGGTTTCGAAGTATCCCACAATCCTAGTTCTGAATATTTGGGTACCAACTCCAAACAAAAGGGAACCACTTTGCAAGGCCGCTAAATGGTTACGGGCTAAGGGTTGGAAAAGGTCAACATCGACATCCTGCCACCGGTTCGCGACACGGACGGCCCGGCTCTCATACCCGGAGCACCGCACGTGCGGGTGTCCCTCCCGCTGTCGGACAATTCGGATGCTCGGATGGTGATAGGCAGCGGCCTCACGACAAGCGCGCGTGGGGGGAATGGGGGGGGGGTTGTGACTGAACTCCCAGGTTCAAGTTTGATAGGTTTCCTGAAACCAGGGGTTAACGCCTTATTTTGGGTTTGTGAATCTGGCTGAAATCAGATGGTTGATGTTTGAAGGACCAAGGATCAATAAACCTTGCCAATGAAAGGGGGCAGCTTCCCCCCAAAGTGATCCGGATGCTGAAATGGGACCGCCCATAATCAGCAGGCTCTAGTGGTCCTGGTGAATATATTACTTTGTGTAGGCTGGATGGGTTGCCTAGTGATCGGGCTTTTTGCTTAGATTGCATGTGCTGCAGGTGCCCGACCAAATTGGATTAGACATGGGCTGGAGAAACAACCATCTCTTGTGAACCCCAGATAAAGCAGGGTGGTTGTGCATTTGGGGGTGTGTTGGGCACACTACCAGGGGTTACGCTTTCTCCAGACCTTCCCTTCTTTGGCATCTGAGGGGTTCCCTTTCTTGGCGAATTTTGGTAATTTGCAGTTGACATGATCACCTTTGGCAACCTAAAACAGACAATTTAACACAGATCGCAACATATCGCAACTCCTGGTGGTGATTTTTGAAATTTGCCCGACACAGGATGCCAGAGTGGCTGGTTTTCCCTCATGACCTTGTCCCTTTGGTTCCCTTTTAAACCAACCGCAAAAAAAGGGTAGCCTCAAAAACACACGCCCAAATATCTGCGCAACTATGATTCGCAAACTGGACATTTTTGGGAAGCCCCAAAGAAAGGACTCCACAAAGTACTATTCGGAAACTGGACCTTTTTGGGAAGCCCCAACAAAGCACCTTCATCTCTTCCCCCCTTCCCCTTCCCCTTCCCTTCATCATGCTCTAATCCCCTAGCGCTCTTTTCACCCATTTTTTTGGGGAAGCCACAGACTTTCATCATGCTCTTCTCAGCTGGGACGCCCCCCAGCCCCAACAAAGCACCTTCATGTTCTGACCCCCCAGGGCTCGCTCTCCCGGATCCCAGGAGGTGATGTGGGGCTGCGACCTCACGCCGCTCTACGACCCCAGCGGCGGCCGCCTGCTGTGCTTCACCGCCTTTCTGCCGCTGGGCCTGCGCCTGGGGCCGCTCCAGCGGCCCAAGGACCTGGGGGGCCATTGGATGCGGAAAATGCGGCGAGTTGCCCAGAAGCAGCGGTTGATTTTTGCAAAACCAGAGGTTCAGGGGTGAGCACAGGAGGTGTGTGTGGTTCTTTGGAGGGTTCCCTTTTTGGGATTGGTTCAAAGGAAAACGAAGAGTCCTCGAGAAAAAAACAAAACAAACAACACATTTTGGGACGTGTCGTTGGACTCTGAATACCAGCCTTTTTAGAGTAGATCTTGATACACACAAAACAAGTTTTCCAGGTCCGAGTTCAGTGACTCCGGCTTTGCCAAATACCGACTTTGGTTTTGAGCAATCGGATCTTATGACAGGGCTGTTCCAGTTCTGTGACCAGCCCAGTATTTTTAGAGTCTTCTTCAGTGGGTTTAAAGGGGTCTATCATGTTTAATCTGGCTCAACCCGGGTGTTTGGTGTGGAAAGGGAAGCCAACAGGAGGCCCATGCCCCCCCCCCCCCCACGGCCTTTGTCAGGATGTGCCACCCAGCGAGCACGACCTCATAGGTGTGGATGCTTGGCTATGAGCCACGGGGCGGGTCTTAAAATGGGTCTCGGATTCCTTGGATGGTTTTGAAGGGACGTCACAAGGAACCAGCCCATTTCTGGGGTGCGCTATTTTGAGAAAGACATGCACCCTCGTCTTTTTGCACGGCCCACCTTTTAAAAGGCTTGCAGCACAGCAAGCCCCCTGGGCAGGCGGGTAAAGCTGGGGTCCAGTCTGCGAATAGTACTTTGCGGAGATATGTGCGTGGTTTGATGACAGAAGGCACCCCAGGTAAGGGTGAGCAACTCTACACAAGCTCGTACGCAGTGCTGCCCCTACAGGTCCAAGAAGCGCGAACGCAACTGCTTGCACCCGCGCCCCTACCCCTTGACCAGTACGCAGTCTGAGCGCACGGAGCTGCTGGCACCCCCCGCCCCCTATTCTTTGCACTCCCACATAGGAATGAAGAACGTCCCTGAACTCGGAGGCAACTTTTGCCCATTGCACCCAAGGCACCGGGAACACCCGAGGTACAGACGCGCATGATTCACATTTTTTTTTTTTTGCCGAGGAAGCCGTGGATGCCAAGGGCGAGGCGGACACGCTGGGGATTTTGCCCGGGGACGTGCTGAGGCCGGGGTTGTTATACTGTCCACCTGAACATACCCCTCTTGCCCAAAAACAGGCAAAATGCGGTTTCCTTTTGGGTTTGTGGAGAGGTCATTTCTTTTCGACCAATTCCCACCAGAAAGCTGGCTCAAATTGGCCAAGATGGCACCATTCCAGTTGTCTTCTCTTTCCCCCCCAAAAGAAAAGCAGAAACAAGCTCCAAAAAGCAGGCGGTTTTTCGGCCCAAACTCCCCAGCTGTCGAAGCCTCCGTTTTTGGCCGAGGGCGGTGTCCTATGTGGGCCTGGGCCCCGAGCCCGGGTGGCTGGACTCCATGCTGGGGGCGGAGGCCATGCCCATGAAGAAGGCCACGGGGTCCGGCGGATTCCGAGGGATTCCGAGGGATTCCGAGGGATCCGAGGGATCCGAGGGATCCGAGGGACCCTATATTTCCCTTCTTGGTGGTTTTAAACATCACTTTTTGGTCCATGAAAGGTGAGTAGCCCTTGGTGGGGGTGATGTTTTAAGGGGAAATATAGGGAGCCCTGAGGGACGGCCGACCAAGTTGGTCAACCCCACATCCCCCAAGCCCGCCTTGCTTTTACGTGGATCCTGACGTTCGGGAAACACCTTGCTTCCTTTGTTTTTCTTCGTGGATGCTGACCATTTCGGGAAATGGCCCCCTTTAAAGGGAAGACGGTCTTGTGCAGGGACCACCCCCAAACGTGAGGATCCATGAAAAAAGGGTGGGATGGCAACTTGAAGCCCAGCTTGGTGAGGCCCTTTGGTCCGCTGTTTGGTTGGGGCTGCCCATGAAAATCGACCAGCCAGATAAACGAAGGTCTTGAACAAATCTTCAAGCATCACTCCTCGACTCCGCAAAAAAATGCGAAAAGGTGCGGGCTCGGAGTTCAGCATATTGTCCAAGGCTTGCTCTCTCAACTGACTAGCAGGATTTGACCTTGTTTCCTCAGACCAGCATTTTCGGTTTTCTTTTTTTTTAATCGGCGTCGGGTTTCCCTTGTCTTTCAAAGTACAAAGGGACTTCCCGAGCCTCAACCAAGAAACCCGCCAAGCCGCCAGGAACGGGGGAAAAACACGAATACGAAATCACCTTTCGGGATTGGGCGGGACATGTTCATTCACTCGAGAAATATGTACAAACAAGCCCCTTGTGGTTGGCTTGAAAGAGAAACCGGAAGGAAACCAACCAACCAACCAACCAACCAGCCAGCCAGCCAGCCAGCCAGCCAGCCAGCCAGCCAGCCAGCCAACCAACCAACCACGTTCTCGGGGGTCCATTACACGTGCGCGTCATCCCAAGACCTTGGCAAAAGAGCGTAGCTTTTTTTGGGTGCTTGATTTCAAAAGGATAGGCCGACTTTAAGATTATGGTCCATTTGGATATGTCAAAATGCAGGGACCCGCAAAGAACGGTCCTTTGGGTTTCCAATGTCTTATCACAAACCCACGAGCAAATGAGCGAACTGGAGGTTCACAGGAAAGGGGGGGCATTCTCCCTGGAACCCCATGGAACCTCCCGAAAAATGCTTTTTTCCGGAAAGTTCTCCGCGAGGTCATGAAGTGCGATGGCCGCTCTCTGGAGGAGGTGCGGGGACTCACTGAAATTTCCCACAGCTTCTTTGCCTTGCCCGAAAAATGAGACTTGGGGGAACCGTTTATGTTTGCGCTTTTTCGGTTTTCCGTCCATTTTTTGTTCTTTCAACTAAGAAGGGACAACATGTTTTTTCCGCAGGCGTCCAAGTGCCAAGTTTGCCATAGGCCCAGCAGCAAAGATGACCTGGAAATACGAGTCACTGGAGAAATTGGGACCCCCCCACCCCCAAGCAGGGCGGGGGTTCCATGAACAGTCTTGCAGCCACTTTTAGTTGCTAAGTCGACGAGCAAACCAGAAGCCGCCGTCTTCGACCTCGAGGGATGTGGCCGCGGTTGTGTGCGCGCGCGCGGTTGCGAGCTGTTCAGGTGACAGAGGCGCTGCTCTCGAACCGCGATAGCCCCGATGGGCGCTTGGTGCTGCTCTTGGAGCGGCCATCGTGAGGTGTGGGGGGGTTTGGGGGTTTGGGGGGGGGTCCCGGGGTAGGTGGGTTGGTTTTTCCGTGCCAGGTGAGATTGGTAGGTCAGGTTTGGTTGGAGTTCTTTTGTTTAGCTAGGTAGCTGGTTGGTTATTTTGTGGGGGAAACGGGCCTGTTTTCGCGGGGGCATGAGATCATGAGGCTTTTTTTCGTTCATGGCGAGAGGATCTGGAAGGGAAGTAAAGGGACCGCCCTGAGCCCTCAGCCCCTTGGCCAGTCAACCCCTTCGCAAACTAAAGAAACCAAAATCACCGATTGAAACTCAAAGCATAGGAAGGTCGTTCTCCCGCTTCAAGTGCTTGAGAACTGTCCCACCAAACAAGAAAAGGTCTCGTTTTTTCCCAAGGTGGGCGCACAAATTCCGGTTGAGAGGGCATTCCTTGAGAATTCCAGAGATTGCCTTCTGGGGAAGCTGGAGGTTGAAACAGGTGCTGGGTCAACCGTTTTCAGCTGCAAAGTGCGTGTTCCTTGAAGCAATCATGGCCTTTTTGTGCAGGCCGAGAAATTTCTGCGCCGAGCGCCGCAGACCTCGTCTGGCGGCCAGACGTGCTCAAAACCGTCTCACAAAGGGATGGGCGAACTGCAATTTTGAGCCTGTTTCTTCTTGATGTACCCCCTTCGCAGAGAAGTCTTCTAATGTTGATCCCAGATGAATAAATCCGTTTGAAACCCGACCGATGAATCAACCAGAGCCCTGGTGCAGGATTCTAATTGGACTTGTTCGGCGGGTGCTTGCCCATCACCTGTTTGCACTCTTTCATGGCTGCCTTAGCAGCAACTCTTCGCCTCGTCTGCGCCTCGCAAAGCAAGCGAAGCGCGCGCAATTTTCGAAAAGCTGTCCGCGCCAAAGACTCCGCAGGATGAGCCGGACCAAAAGCATGGCCTGGATATCGATGGCCCAACTGCAGTGTAGTGTAGGGGAGGCGTGAGCCATGGTCAAAAGCTTTGGGATTGGGTTGCCCGGTCCTGGACCGCTTAGAAAAGAAGTTGGAGAATCATTGTAGGGGTTCCTTCTAAAAAAAACAAAAACATGACTATAGCATTTTGACCACGAACCTTGTAGCAAAATTCAATGGTTTCCTCTCGGTTTTTAGTTTTTGCCTCACCCTTCTATTGGGGGCCTGACAAATGGGCCAAAGCGTACGCTGCCATAGACCCCTCTGAAACCCTGGTGGTCAAGGGAATCTGTGACTCTACAAACAAAATACGAACATCCAGCCTCTTTAACCTCTGCTCTCTTTCCAACGATCATGGAAGACGGGAGGGGTTTGGAAGACTTGCCTGGGAAACCCTCCACAATCCCTTTGAGAAGCTTCCTTCGGTCTTTTTTTTCCCGGGTGCATGTGGCTGGGTTTTTTGAGGGTCCCCGTTTTGTGCTTGGTGGCTTTAAAGGGAACCAACAGGAAGACCACCATGTTTTTTTGGGCGGGATCCTCTAAAAGCACCGGTGTAGTCACCATCTAATTGACACTGCCGAGGTCTCAGTGCGAACACTGCCCAGGCGGACTCTGGCTGGCGAAGCGAAGCCGCGTTTCGTTCATGATTGGGGCCTTGGTCAGGCACACAGGACGGGTCCCAGCATAGACGATGTTTTCTGGGTCCGAACTGGGCCAACCCTCAAACTACCCATGATAGGGATTGCACCCCCATATTTTCGGGCGAAGAATTTAGCCCCCCACATTTTCATCGGAATCGAAATATCAATTACACAGTCTTATCACGGTGATAACTGGGGCACAGCTGGGACCCCTCACGCTGTGGATGGACGCTCCGTCCATTCATTCCCAATCAGTTGGTGGTGGACTATCAACCAGTCGCAGGTTTCATCCAACTTGTGCCAGTTGCGGATGTTTGTCCATCCACAATGGACAACAGGACCAAAACCAACAGCCTTTCTGAGTCTGTCCCCATTGGATCGCAAGGAAGGATGGTTCTCACAAGAGGAATTGGAATTTTGTCCACATGGTGTGATTCTCCAAGGGGGGCGTGTCTTAAAGGAATCGGACCCTCAAGAATGGCGAAGGTTTCCCTGCAGCTTCCCTTTGCTCCACAAAAGGGCACCCTCCAAAAAGGCCACCGCCCCCCAATCTTACATATTGCTAAGCGCATCTTTCCATTTGCGCCTGGCTTTTTGAGGCCAAGAGCGGCCTCTTGGGTCCATTTCCGGATGTTCCAACCCCAACTCCAAGCCCGCCGCCCGGCCGAAGAATTTCCGCGGGGCGCGGGGCGCCTGCGCGCCTGCTTGCCTGCGGAGGCAGGGGGTGGCCAAGCCGGCGCCGAAGCTCAAGGCCACGCCCAAGGCCAAGGCCGACGTCGCGAAGGCGAGGCCCAAGCCCGGGCCGAAGGCCAAGCTGGGCGGCCCAGGAGAAGTCCGGGGGGAAGTGGAGGTGGAAGGAGCTGGGAAGGAATCAGGTGCCCTTTTTTTTCGTGTTGTTGTGTTTTTTTGGTTCTAGTACGGAGGTGGGGGGAGGTGGGGGTTGTAGAAAATCTGAAGCTGGTTCGCCAAGGAGCTGGGTATGAAGATTTGCGTTTAAAAAGGAAGCCTTTCGGACCCAGCAGGTCTTTAAGGACAGTGTCCCTTGCTTGAGGGGTCAACTTAGCTTTTGGACACGTGAGGTTTGCAGAAACGTTTTCGCCGAAGTGGCTCTCTGTATTCCTCAGTCCGGTTCGTTCCGTGTCGGACTTTTGGGAAGACAATGGAAGGTGGCAAATTTAGACAGTTTGGACTTTTGGCAGATGGATTGAACACCGTGGATCCATCCCTCCACCACAAGCACCACCAAACCATTTTCTAGAGGTTTGAACATGTACTTGGAACGCTCCACATGGGGTTGGGTTTCTTTTTTCCCCTCAGGGCACCAACGGCGTCCTTATGAGCATTTTCGCAAGATGGATCCAGCGCGGAAATCAGAGTTACAATCATTTAGCAGTGCGATCTATTTTTCCAAGACCTAGGCTAATGCCCTTGTAGGCGGAGGATCAGCAGCATTTTGAGGCTTGTTGCAGCCTTTGTGTGTTGTTCACTCCTCAAAATGGGGCGTGCAAATAAGGCAGGCTTTTCTTGCGATGTGACTGAACTGGCGCAAGAGCACCAGCATTGAGATGTCGAATGATGCAACCTCGAGTGGTTGAAGCCTAAAAAGGGTCCTGCTGTGGACAGACAAAATTTATTTCGCACCACCTAAGAAACCCTGGAATGATGATTCCCTTGTAAATACCAACAAACCTTATGGTTTCCACCATGGCTTCAAAGTGGTGCAGGATTTTCCCATGGTTTCATTTCGCGGTGCGAAATGGATTTCCTCTGTCCACAGCATAGTTGGCCTCACATTCGCTGCATGCTCATGTTGCGCCCCAAGGCCTGCTGCGCAAGCCCAGGCGGAGCATCTTGTCAAGGCGATTGACCTCGTTTCGGGGCTCATTGTGGTCGACTGCTACTGTCACTGGCTTCATTCATGTGGCTGTGGCTCAAAAACTGGTACCAACATGGGTTGCCCTGGTAAGGAAACATGGACCAACACCTGCGTAACCCCTCCTGTTTAATCTTGAGCCACACCCATGTGTAGAATCAAGTTGAATCTTGCGAGAATCATGCCATAGGCACTCGCCTTAGGTGAACAGATCTGCCGCCCGCAGCCGTCTTATCATCTTCTTCAGATTAGCAAAACCCCCAGAGCTTGTATCCGAGTGAAAGCAAAGAGGGGAAGGGGGAGCAACACCCAATAGACGTGTTTCAAATTTTGAGAGTTATCTTTTAGAAACTAAGGATTTGACTTTAGGAGCTTTTAGATGAATAGAAACTGATCGTGTTGTAGTTTTCCCGAGAAATAGATTCATAAATATTTTAATAACATCAAACATATGTGTTACACGTGCTTCTGGGAAGCAACACATCCGTGGCTCACTTGATGGCCCCATCTGTGTTCAGCCCTCCAAGGCTGACCTCTCCGAAGTCGAACTCCAAACAGCTCTTCAGGGCACATTGATGGGCTATTTTTGCTTGCGGCTTGTGACAGATCAACGCTACACTGGTTCGTTTTCCTGGCCTGCCTGCCTACTGCGGGCCTGCATCGGACCTACAGTGGATGGGCAGAATCGTGCACCAGCTATAGATGACAACCCACAAACAGTGGGACAAACCGCCTATCCACTTTTGCAGGGGTTCTACCCCGTATTTTTCGGGTTTCAAGGGCATCAAGGCCATCCTTCAACCTTGGGTTGTGAAAGGACGGCATGTTTTCTGGGTGGTTTCTCAACCCTTGGGCATCTGGACGTGGGAAGCCCATGGATTTCCAGGCGGTTCGCACACTCCGGTCTCGGGTTCCTTCCGCCAGGGCCGGAACGGGGCGAAGCCGAGGCATGGGCTCGGGTTCCTCGGGTTCGGCTCGGGTTTTGGGGTCCTCGGGGACACCCGCGAGGTTGGAAGGCCCCGAGCTGCGAAGTTGTTGAAGGCCCATGTTGTGGGCCCTGTGGAACCCCTGCACCACCGTTCAGAAGCCCTTTGAACGTAAAAATGCCCGTAGCAAGCCTTTGGTTTCAATGGTGACTCAATTCGATGGCGTAGCCGGAGGTGTTTGGATCTCCAATTCGCTCACTCCAGTTTTGTATTGGAAGCCTTGGCCTTCGAACCTTCCGGCTATGGATTCGAGTGCGTTGTGCCCACGTTGGAACCTGCTGGTTGAAGAGCCCTGGAACCAAGTTACTCCTGGAGGACGTTCCGGGTGCGTTCCGGGTGTCCCAAAAACAACACGCCTTTTTTGGGTCAAAACCCCTCGACGTTTATTTTGGTTTCCCTTTCATCAGGATTGCAACTGCAACGAATCCCAGCTTCTCACGAAAAATGTATCAGAGGACCGATTCGTTGGTTTTTCCAACCCTCACCTGCCTTTTTGCCCTCCATTGGGGTCAACAAAGCAGAGGGTCAGGGACGCCGTTGGGTGTCAGGTTGTTTTGTTTCTTCGGCTG